GGAGAGAGCGCTCCCTTTCTGGTGGCCTCGCCTCGCCTCGCCCGCCCGGCCTGCCCACCTCCGGAGCCGCCTCTGCCCGCGGATGGGCTGGGGAAGTTGGGAGGAGCGAGTGGGAGCTCGCGCCCCGCGCGCCCGGCTGCTGCCTGACTCCGCGCCCGCAGTCCGGGCGCAGCGCGCTGGCCGCCGGAGCACGAATGCCCTCTGGAGCTGCCGGCTGGCAGGTACCCACACATCGGGACCCGGGCTGGCGAGGGGAGGGCAAATCCTGGAGACCCCGTGCGTCCACCAGCGTACGGGGGCTCTAGACACTCGCTTCCTTTTCCCGGAGGGGAGAGGGTCCTGGGCTCCCAGCACGCACCCGCTCAGAATTGGTGCCTGGAAGGCAAGCGGGACCTCACTAACTAGACAGCGAGCGGTACTGGGTGGTTTTGTATGTCGAATTCTGGGCTACCTCCGCGGTCCCGGGTAGGCATGGGCTGGTGGCACCTCTACTTTTCATTACCCGGCCTGGGCACATAGCCCAGGGGCCAGGCTTCCGGCGAAGGTGGGGGAAGGGAAGCTTACTCGTGACCCAGAGATGGGATTCCCCAGACCCAATTCTACGGGACTTGAGGCAGGGGAAGAGTCCAGAGGTCCCAGTGGACACAGGCTTTGATTCTTGGCCCATTCTGGCCCTCTTCCTCTGTAAGGCCTGGGTCTCCGAGGAGAGTCCATTTTTTAATTTCAGAGAGTTTTCCTGAAGTGATCTGTCAGAATGAGTGTGGGTATGGCAGCTACACCAGCTCCTTAAGGTGGCCAGGATGGTTGGAGCCTGTTTTTGCCTCTGGCGGAGTCAGAGATGGAAAAAAGCTTCATTGCCTCAGGAAGCTTCTGGGCATCTCTGCTCTCCCACCCAGAGGTCCAGGCACCAATTCTGGCGTCTGGGGAGAGCAGTCTGAATCCGCTGAGCACCGCCCAAATGCCAGGCACGGGAGCATGCCCTGGGAGGGCGTGGAGGTGGGAGGATTCTGTTCTCCGAAGGTTCAGCCCTTCAGAAGAAGACAGAACATAAACAGGCAGAAAGTTTGCTGATACAGGGTTTTGATAGACTGGTGGCAGTGTAAACGCTAAGAAGCTTCACAGAATTAATCCTGGACTAGCGGTAGTGTAAATGCTAGGAAACTACACACAATTAATTGCTACGTGAGAAAAGTGAGCAGTGAGATCACTGAGGGAGCTGGGATCCAGTTCTCATGCAACCAGGCAAATGTGTTTAAATGTTTTAGCTTCCTACCCATCCACCCTATTACCCTGCTAGTAAACAGGACCTCTCACCACTTCCAAGGGCAGGGAGCAGTAGGAGGGCTGAGGAAGTGTGTGCCTCTTTATATGGCTCCCACCTCACGCCCATGTTTTTTGGTATTTTTCCCTGCTGGTAGATTTCTGAAGAAACCCATTTGGTTTCTTGTGTTAGGTGAGTGCAAAACTCTCCTAACTGCCCTGTGTCTCCTGAGGTTTGGGGTTTAGAGCCAGCCTTGTAGGAGGTTCAGAGGCAAGTGGGAGGAAGTCCTCACTTCCTTTCTGAAGAGCCTCCATCACTGGGGTAGGGTGGAGGCAGGGAGGCAGTGGGCCAGACGGTTTCCTGTGAGTTCAGACGGATCTGAGGTAGGGTTGGGGTAGGCAGGGTAGGGCCCAGGGTGTCTTGACAAGGTAGGTGGTACCTGGGGGAGCTCTGACCTCACTTCCATGCAGTATCTCGGGCTCTACCTCTGTCCCATTGTCCCTGACAGGTTTCTCTTTTTCTGGAATACTTTGTGGAGGTGGCAGTGTGCTTGTCCCATGGCCTTGGGTACAATTCTGAGAGTGGGAGTTGCTGAGTTCACCCCAGAGCCCTTGGCTGGCACTGTGACAACTCTGATGAACACATGCCTCAGTTGGCACACACAGACCTGGGACACCCAGGCCCAGGTAGGGGATGCCTGCATGGGCAGAGACATACATGTATGGATTCTCAGGTTTATAGCTGCGTGGGCAGAGAGATAAAGGAACTGGAGACAGATATGCCTGAGGGTAGGCACAGGAAGACAGGTGAACATGCAACGTAGGACACAGACATGTGTGTGGGAAGCCATGCAGGGACACAGATGTGTGGGGGAAGACACACATGCACATATCAGCGTGGACTGCAGAAATATACATAGACAGATTTAGATAGTTGCTGGGATCTGAATCGGGAGGCAGACATGGACAGTGGACAGTCATATAGTTGGACTCACCAGAGCACAGACAAGGCTATGAACTGACATGCACAGACATAAGAAAGCCTCATGGAAATAAGTGGCTTGAGTACCTGGGCAGATAGGGAGTGGGCTCTGAGCACCCAGAGATATAGACTCATGTGTCTACCAGAGTCATCTGACAATAGAGGGCAGGACCTGGGCAGGAGTGGCTACTGAGATATAGTCCGAGGTGTACATTGCTCAGTTATCATCATTTCCCCATGTGGCAGCAGTGCCAGAAGTTGTCCTGTTTGGGGGGTGGTGGTGGTACAGGTGCTCTGTGGTGTGGCTAATTTCTAGACTCCTACTTTGGGGTTTGAGAATCCCACAGGGCTCAGTGTCCTCTGTTTTACTCTGAGAGTTATTTGACCTCCCCACTCCCTAAGTTTCAAGGCTGGGTTTGTGTCTTAAGTGCCAGAAGGAGGCTGGGTGCAGTGACAGTGGCTGATGCCTGCAATCCTAGCACTCTGGGAGGCTGAGGGGGATGGATTGCTTGAGTTCCCAGGAGTTGGAGACTAGCCTGAGCAAGAATGAGAGCCCATCTCTACTAAAAATACAGGGGGGAAGAAAACTGAGCATCATGGCAGGTGCCTATAGTGCCAGTTACTGGGGAGGCTGAGGCAAGAAGATCGCTTGAGCCCAGGAGTTTGAGGTTGCTGTGAGCTATGATAATGCCATGGCACTTACCCAGGGTGACAGAGTGAGACTATGTCTCAAAAAAAAAAAAAAGTGCTAGCAAGAGTTCCTTGAACCTTCACTTTTATCTTCCTTGAGTCTCCAGAAGCTTCCTGAAATGAGGCCATTTGGCCTGGGTGGGGTGCTCCAGCCAGAATGGAGGAGGAATCTAGCTGTGGCATTTTCTCTTTCTTTTTTTTGAGACAGAGTCTCACTTTGTCATCTTCAGTGGAGTGCTGTAGTGTCCTAGCTCACAGTAACCTCAAACTTTTGGGTTCAAGTGATTCTCTTGCCTTAGCCTCTGGAGTATAGGGGAGAATAGGCTCCCACCACAACGCCAAGCTATTTTTAGAGATGAGGTCTTGCTCTTGCTCAGGCTAGTCTCTAACTCCTGAGCTCAAGAAATCCATCTGCCTTGGCCTCCCAGAGTGCTAGGATTATAGGCATGATCCACTGCACCTGGCCATTAGCTGTGGTATTCTCTTTCTGAACCCAAACTTGTGGGGTTTTGTCAGGGAAGGGACAATCCCTGGGGGAGCAAGATGGGACACACATGCAGTTGGGTTGATCATAAGAGCCAATGCTCTGAACTTGCATAGGGGAGGGGTCCTCCACCTTTTGGCTATGTTCATATCTCCTCTGCCCACTCTGGTAACTGGGATCCAGCGCAGATTCTAGATATAGTTTGACGCTAACTCATTGTGTGACCTTTGGCAAGTTACTTAATGTCTTAGTTTCCTCATCTTTAAAGTGGGGCCAGTAACCCCCACACTCTGGGTATGTTGTATGGGTTAAATGGGAGAAAAAAATTAAAAAAGCCCCATGTGGCCCAGTGCCTGGCACAAAGTAGGCACTCAGTGAACACGGGGGTGGGGGGGTGGGACTCTGATTATGAGCTTTCCCCTGTGGCCAGGACTCCCCGGAGCTTCCTCAGTAGCCAGGCACATGGCCCTGGCACCTCTTATATGAAAGCTGGAGGGCTTTGTCCTCACTTGCTGCCCACCCTCCTTCCAAACACAGAGCCAGGAAGTGGCAGGCAGGGTGTATGGAAGCTTGGGCTGCTGGGCCTCTGGGAGGGGAGCCAGTGGTTTGCTAAGAATAACCCCAAATCATGGCTCTTGCCTCCCAGTGGGCAGCCCAACCGTGTGCCTCCCCTGCATCAGGCCAAGGCGCTTGCAGACAGGCCTGTGTATTTCCTGTGACTATCCTGTAATTGGCATGAGGCATGAGGGTGGGCCTGGGCAGCAGGCTCAGTCCGGCAGGAGGCTCTGCTTGCCTTCCTAGGCTTTGGCTGGGACCTAGGGAAATAGAAGGTCAGGAAGCCCTGGTCTCCATAATCTCTAAGTTCCTCTTCCACTCAGGGCTTGTCCCAACACACTCCTCTGACCACCGCCCCAGACTTGACATGAGGCTCTGGAAGGAGAGCACCAGGGTCTGAATTCTTCCTCCGTCTCACTGGCTGTGTGGCCCTGGGCAGCAAACTTAACTTCTTTGTACCTCCATTCCCTTGTGTAACAGGGTTAATGATGGTACCTCGGATAAGTATGTCACTGGCATGGAAGGAGGTAGGTATGGAAAGCCCTCAGAGTACTGTCTGGCTCCTGGCTCCTACATGTTAGGTGCTGATGTTATCACCATCACTGATAGTCTCTCGGCAAAGGCCAGGGTGCTTGCACAATGTCATGATGGGAAGGGACCAGGATGGTATCTTGATTTGGGTTTCTGGACTTTCTTGGTTCTGGGCTCAGTCTGGGGTGCAGGGATCCAAAGGTAGAGTAGACTCAGTCCTTGTCAGGAGGTGAGCGAGATGTACTACACCATAGGCCATAGCCTATTGTTGCCAGGATGGGAGTCTGCCAGCTGTGGTTGGAGCTGGAAGAAGTTGGCCTGGGAGCATGTGTGACACTTCATGTGGGCTTCAGACAATGGTTAGGAGTTTGCAAGGCGTGGGGGAAGGCTTGCCCAGCACAAAGAGCAGCAGGCCGGAAGTGTGATAGTCTTCAGGAGGTGTTTTAGATGGTTCCTGTAACTGGTATGTGGACTGGCTTTAGTGCTAAAGAGGGGCCCTGCCTGCGCTGCAGCTGGGGCACTAGTGAGGTGCCTAGTGTCACCTGGATGCCCATGGCAGGCAGTAGGGAGTGTCTGGGGCTTTGGGAACTAGGCGTGTCCCAGGGAGCTGAGGCTTTCGGAAGTTCCAGGCAGAGGAAGGGTGTGGTGCTGGGAGGACTGTGGGTGCCCCGACAAGCTGCCAAGAGGCTGGGTATGTGTGTGTGGGGTGTCCCTGTGTG